ACATTAATCACCGTAGGCTGATGTTCATCTTGTAGGTACATAAAACTTTATATTGACTGGTTACTGGAGAGTAACCAACTTCATGTTGTTTAGTCCTGAGTCCTGAACAAACTTTATCAATCATTTTGCAATGTGGCCACCAGATAAGAAGGCTCACGATCACGACTCATTGATATAGATATTAGCTGGATGGAGGCGATCGGCAAGATGCCCTGAATCTAGGTTTCATGCTTTCTTGACAGTTATCAGCAAGGCGTATTTACAACCTTGATGAAACTGACGTCCCGCCTGAGATTCGAAGCCACGTAACTCCAGTCATGGATATTACCATCGAGTTATTCGGACCGAAACCGACCTTTTATTGGTGTCTGAAAGTACTAACAGTTATAATGTCATACTCACCATTGTATACTTGCATACTCACGTTTGTAGTTCCTTTATCAAACAAGCAATTTTTGCTCAAACCTTAGTCTACCAAAAAATCATATCTAAGCACTGTGTTGTCAAAGTAGTTTAGATAGAATTTTGGAATTTTCTTCCATTATATCATCATCTAAGGAGAACGAATATACACCTAAATGCACTGAGTTCTGAAGACATGTGATGTTGAAGTTCCTTTAGAGTAAAAGATTTCATTCTATTTACAGTGAGCTTTATTTACTAGCAAAGATATCTCTTTTTGACTAAGTAAGCCTTCTCGGGGTGATGCAATATATTTCAAGGTCCAAATCTTGCAATAAAAGAATCTATTTTCATTCAATCTCTAGGTTTGTGGAGATTTATTAATTGATTTCAGGTTGGAGGAACATTGGGAACCTGGAAGCTCTGGACAGTGGTTTCATCCTGGTATGGGACTGCTCAGCAGTAGGCACCCACTACCCCAGCAGAGTGACTAATGGAGCTAACCAAGTTGAACATGAAATCAGTAACTCAAAGACGACATTGAATGGAGGCCGCGCTATATCGTGGACTGACAGAAGTGGGAAATGCTGACCAATGGACCCCCTTCAAGTGGCTCTATGGTAACGTACTGGCCGTGAAACCTAAAAGTCTCGGGTTCGATCCCCGGTGGGGCTGTATGTGCGCACTATTGAGGAGCCCCACACCAGGACAGAAAAGCCATCCAGTGCTCCCAGGTTTCCAGTGTTACTCCAGTTGATATCAGTGCATGACGAATTCCAACCGGAAACCTACATTTATTGCGTATACTGACCTGTGTTTCAGAACATAACTTATTTTTGTTCAGATACAATATTAACTTCACTGTTCACAATTAAACCTAGCTGTATTGATTGGTCACAGGAGTGCAACCAATTTCGTGTTGTCTAGTCCTGAGTGCAGACCGAATTCTATCGATCATATTTGAAATGTGGCAACCAAGCTAGGAAGCTCAGCATCGTGGTGCACATTAGTGGATGTTAGTTGGTTGCAGGGAATCGGCAGGAAGCCCTAGACCTAGGTTTCATGCTTTTTGGCACTCGTCAGCAAGGCGTATATGCAACCTCATGGCACTGATGTCCTGCCTGAGATTTGGACCCGCGTCACCCAGTGTTGTAGTCAGCGACGTTACCACTGAGCCATTCGGGCTGCACTCGGGACTAGACAACATGAAATTGGTTGCACTCCCTTGACCGATCAATACATATAAACCAGTCCTACAGGAGGTCAACCGCGGCCCGAATAGCTTAGTGGTAACGTCGCTGACTACAACACTGGGTGACGCGGGGTCAGATCTCAGGCAGGACATCAGTTCCATCGAGGCTGCATATACGCCTTGCTGACGAGTGCCAAAAAGCATGGAACCTAGGTCCAGGGCTTCCTGCCGAATTCCTCCAACCAACTAAACCTAGCTGTCTTGATCACCTTGCATTTTTCTCATCATTCAATGCTGACCTTATAGAAGAGGTGTAATAGTTTCAGCAAGTTATTGAACAAACTACACTGCTTGCGATAAGTGTTACATGTAACTGAATAGTTCGTCGAAATACACTGTTCTAATGGCAAACGGTTTAAGTGGAAATAAACTTTACTGTTTCGCCATAAATCCTATATACTAACACTGTTTAAGCCATCAGTATTATCTTAGACACTTCTTCAAATTCATGTAACCGAAATGTCTACATGGAAACTGAAAATTTCAGTTTATTTGAGGTATGTTGTAATTGCGTTTATCCTGTTTTAGAAACCCATAACCGGTTAAATCAAAAGTAAGTATGACCTGAAGTAACCATGATTTATCAGGGTTTTTTCGAATAAGACCTAATCCATTCAGTTAGTGGTTAAAAACTAAGCTGGTAATCGTCTGCATCGACCTTCAAATGGAAATTCTATTAGCAGGCAAGTAAATTAGAAATGGTATCTCTGACTCTTTCAGTAGTTTATTTGCACAGAAATGCGTTTCAGATTGTTTCTTTCCATAAAAGGCAAATGTCCAACCCAAAGATGTAGTTTTAACACCATCAGACTTAAAATTTGTTTCGCAAATAATCAATTTTCACACGATTAACTGACTTTTAAAAGCTTAAGGAATTTGAACGGGTTTCTGAGCGCTAAGATTTAGCGTAAACCATTTGAATGAACAGTTTACGTTAAATCCAATAGGTCTGGGTAGTAATAGACTATCGCATACTCTGATATTATTGAAACAAGTGATTGAAAACGTATATGATGATGGCAAGAGATTTAGTAATAAGACTATGTTACTGATTTCAGCAGGTAGAAATCAGCATGAAAAACTGGGGTTCGTTAGAAAACAGAGGTACGATTCACAGAAAATCCATGTTTCTACAGGGTCTTTAATTAACTGTTACAACCAGTTTATGCATAATGCTGACTGTATTGTTTCAACTTCGATAGAAATTATATCTAAAGGTCTGTTGATAAGATTCTGGTTCATTTAGGAGAATAACTCAGAATAACCCTGATCAATTAGAAAAGTTACAAAGTAAATTTCAATTAGGTGCTCAATTTAACTTCAGTAATCATATAACCGATTACTCAAGAAGGATTCCTTAGGCGGGAAAACGTTAGATAACTGAGATATTTCACAAATCAAATTCAAATATCTTGATTTAAACCAAGTGGTTAACCGTTCCTTAAACCACGACATATTTTGAAAAATATGAAAAGTATTTGACTCATTATAAAATCCCGACTACAGCTGCACAAATCTTCATAAACTGTTATACTTACTGACACTTCATATTCCGACTCAATTCCCCTCAAAAAGCTTACTCGTCAACACACTTTGCTTGACTCAATTAAAATGCTTGCCATAACTCCGATGTCTAAGAGTGAACATATCAAAGTCAGGAAAAAATATTGTGGGGAATGAGAAATCTAGTTGTTGTAGGTTATGTGAAACATATTTGTTATTCAGAACATGACAGAAACACGATACACTAGACTGTTGACAGGAATACTACGAACCTTAGTCAACTATAGAAGAAGGAATTAATTTAAGAAACACCATGAGCTTTGTCACCTTACACGCATGTTTCCATTGTTCAACGCGGATTAGTCGAGAATGTTTTCATACGCTAACACAATAAGGTGACAGTGTTGTTACTTTTGAGATCAGTTTGGTTATCGAATCTTCGTTTATCGAGTCAACATCCACTACATGCAATAGAAATTATGCAATCTACTCTCCGAATATATGGAGAATCTTGTTTTGACTTACTTTAATTCCTATTTCAAGATTAGAAGTAGGACAGAGAGGTTGTACCGAAACTTTACTTAACCTGTTGGATGTGAAAATCGATAATGAATTCTTTACTCCTGAAACCAACTATAAGCATATGCAATTTTCATCAGTGATTGTCTCTTCCAGGCATCTCGAAGACTATACTACCCTCGAAAGAAATGGAGAGAAACAGGAAGAACTAAACTATTTCACAAATTTACATAGATACATTTGAAATGGCCATGAAAGATACATTGTATTGACAGGTTTATCCACTAAATGAGAATTTAGTATTTTGTGATACTTCGAAAAGGTTATCTAAAATATAGAGTAATTACTTTGTAGATACTTAAACTGTTTTCACTTTTGTCTGTGACTTAGAAAAATGAATATTGATAAATTAAAAAAAAAACTATTCATTTGTATACAAATAATATGACTTTTTGAAAACATATTTTCCCGTTTTCTACCTCTCATAAAGAAACAATCAATAAAACTAGTTTTTTCTCACCGCTGAACTCAATCTTCATAATAGTAAGGAAGTATGAATTCCAATGAGATTTGATAACATGGTGTGCAAAATTTGAACGATGTATTGTCAGTCTCGCAAAATCTTTCGTCTTCTCATTTATGTTTTCAAACTATGTCTCAGGTTTACTTGGTCTCCTTTGAACATACAGATAAACGGGACCGTCTTCTTTAACAAGATCATCTGCTAGTAGTGGTTCGCTACTGGCTATTGGCACACTGTTCCCTTCTGCACCGTACTTGGACGTTGAATAAATGCTTCTTCTGTGATCTGCGTGTGAATTTCTGCCCTGATACTGTAAAACTAAGTAGTCCGTGGGAGACGGCGAGTGCTCTACTTGTGATCTCCTACGTTGTCGAAGAAAGGCTGGGTGTACCGGAGAACTGGCAGCACGCGATGTTAAACTGGCCTTGTAATATGTGGGTGTAAATGACTGATTTGCGTAGTTACTTGCAGGTAGATAATCACCAGACGCCCTAAAGTTATCACATGAAAAAGACTGGTTATTTGTTAATTCAGCAGTCCCACTTAGAGACCGATGGCAGTGTCTCCTGCTACTTCTATACGTATGGAAATTCTCATCGTCTTCCTCTTTGCTCTGCTCCTCCTCTGGTGAGATACGACCGTTATTCCGAATATCATTTCCGTAATCTATCACTTGATTATAGATACTTCTTCGCAACTTTTCAAGGGGATTTTTATTCTGTGTTAGATCAGCAACTTTGTTTCTATCCTCCATTGAATTTACTGAATATGTTTCATAAACTCGTCTTTGTTTCTCATCATTCAGCGCCAACATAAAAACATTTGGTGAATTTGAAAAAAGTAAATAAATTTTATATCCTTATAAAATACTTGATCGCGGAATAATTTTGATCGACTTTTCCTTTCAAATCTTATCCGATCAGTTAAACAATACAAATAACCATGATTGCGCTTTTTCCGTAAATGTTTTGGTAGTAATTGATTAGCTTTTCCATCGGAGAAACCAGAAGGATCAACGATTTTAGTACGACCCCTTCCTTTGAATACTGTTTTAAATAAAATTGACTGTCCAGTGATGGGATCATTCGGCAAATTTTCAACAATTCTTGGAACAAGTGAATTAGAACGCCTCCTACTATTATAATCCACCGACATTTAGAAAGCTTTCTTACTAAATACTTTTTATTCGGTTCTGCTTTTTAAGCTGACAGTATTATTTTACCTGACTTGATTTAAAAATTTAAGTGAAGCTAAATCTGAAGACAGAAACTAAAAGCAAACATGTGCTAATATTTGTACTCACACAATATATTCAAAATGCTTGGGAATGAGTGATGATTTTAAACAAAAGCCTTAAGTCACTCCACCCACTCAAAATGATGTTTACACTTAATAATAAAGTGTTTCGTCTTCTATTTCATCTCTGTACACGGAATGTTTGCTAGTGTCAATGCTTAAGGCAAGTCAGTTATTTTTTTATTTTTAGATAAATTGTGTTCTAAATCAATACTGGTGTTTGATGCTAAAATGCGCACTTATCAAAAATTCATTATTCTCAATGCTTTCACTGATTTAGGTCAATCTATAAAACTCCTCGTTTATCAGCACACCGGTATCAGTTCGAAAAAGCATTTGTGATTAGTTTTTAGTTCACAGGAAGCTTTAGTATTTATGTGTTAAAAAGCTTTTAAACAAAATTATGCATATGAGCCAAAATTGCACACTTATTTTATCGCACTAGATTCATTCTATCAATTATCCATATCCACTACATTTTCTGTTCCGTTTGAATATGAACGTGACTGATAGTTTCAGCATGAAAATCTACGTGAACTTCTGTTTCTATTGCTGTAAAAATGTAAGGATACTAACTTTACTCCATTAAACACAAAAAGAATTTTACTAAGCGACCTCAGACTAGTAGGTTATCATAATCGTTGCATGTGGCGAAAATAAGTATTCTCAGATTACTTTTCACCACCAGGTAACTTACCGGCTAGATAAGAGTGCAAAATTTGCAAAACTTTGTCAAGCTTTGCCCGTAATTTATTTTGTTTACAATTAGCTGATTTAATAGACAGTTCATTTATTTTTTTTGCAAAGCAAAAGGATTCTACGAGAAAACTATTACAGTAACCGGAGGGAGTCTTCTCTTCAAGAATTTAAAACAATTAGTTCCCTTTATAAACTTCGACAAAACAATAAGAAGACGTAAATTGTCTGTGTTCCTCGAAAGCAGTCATCAGATTTGGCTACCCATGCACAGTTTGAAAATCTATACAACCAGTTGAAACCTCTCGTCCCAACTTCAATTGAAGACCAGGGATGGCTGAAAGCCAACATGATGGATATCGCCCACCAGTTTTGTGATAGCCATCAGAACCAGAAAAGCATTCTAACTTCTGAACATTTCAGAGCTATGAAGGAACTACGAGAGAACCCTGATATTATTATCCTCAGACCTGACAAAGGCTCAGGTGTCGTGATCATGGATAAAATCGAATATAAGTGTAAAATGTCATCGATTCTTGAAGATGAAAATAAATTCACTAAGGATTGTTCTTCAGAAGACGTACAATTGTTACAGGGAACTGTGACCGCTAATCTAGTGAAACTGCTCGAAATGAACGTCATTACCAGTCAAAAATTCGCCCTACTGAAACCAACTGAATCCCGATTCCCACATCTTTACGGTTTGCCCAAAGTACATAAACCCAACAACCCCTTACGTCCCATAATGTCAATGTGTAAGTCGCCAACGCATAAGCTTGCCCAGTGGCTAGTGGAGTTATTGGATCCCATTAAAAAGCAATTTTGTAAGTATTCCTTAAAAGATACATTTGAAGTAATTAAATGCCTTGAGCATGTCAACATAAAGGGTAAATTTATGTGTTCATTTGATGTTAACTCATTATTTACCAATGTCCCTTTGGTCAAGACAATTGACATTTTATGTAATTATATTTCTGTGCATAAGTTTCCGATACCCATTACTTTGGATCACCTAAAACAGCTGTTACTTTTATGTACAAACAATATTAAATTCACCTTTGAGGGCGAACATTTCCGCCAGGTTGATGGTGTCGCTATGGGAAGTCCTTTAGGTCCCCTCCTAGCCGACATATTTATGTCACACGTTGAGAACTTAGCCGAGAACTTAATAGACCAAGCCCATCTGTATCGAAGATATGTTGACGATATCCTGATTATTTGTGAAAACTCAAATCAGGCTACTTCAATTCTAAACCGACTGAACGAAGTACAGAACAGCATATCTTTGACATGTGTAAGAGAGGAAGATGACTGCTTGCCGTTCCTAGATATATTAATTAGTCGAAGGCAGGATGGATCCATAAAACGATCTATCTACAGAAAACCTACATGGACAGGGCAATATCTGAATTACCATAGCTTTTGCCCAGTTCAGTACAAGCGAACGTTAGTAAGGTGCTTATTCAGCAGAATTCAACGAATATGCACCGAGGATACTTTAGAAGATGAAAGAGGAACACTGACCGATATTTTGTTGGAAAATAACTATCCATCAACATTTATCAGGCAGAACAAAATCAGTAGAGCGTCAAAACTAGAACTGCAGTCAGTCCCAAAGAAGGATGTCTTCATCAGCCTTCCGTACAAAGGTGACTCTCAGAGTGCAATTCTTAAGCAGAGACTTAACGCTGCTGTTAGAAGGACTTACTATGCAGCCAGGGTTCGAGTAATCGAAACCACGAAGCCCTTATATTCCCCCAAACCCCCACAGCATGTGAACGATAATGTCACATCCCATTGTATCTACCAATTCAAATGTACGTGTGGTGACACATACATAGGGAGGACTAATAGATCCATGCAAGTAAGGGCCTCGGAAAAAAATTTTCTTTTCAACGAAATCATTCTCTCAGCTTTGCATTTTTGAATACATATTAGAAACAGTAATATATTCCCCAGTAATTTCCGGTCAAAGGTCAAAATAAATTGCAGGAAAAAGGAAAGATACGTAGTGTCTAAAATGTTCAAAATGAGGAAATAAATGAAGTGATTAAGAAATAATATATAGTTAAGTCATAAGGGAATTATCTACATTGATCGATCTCCTAAGATGGTCATCTCAAAGAATGAATAATGATAGTTTTAACCTATGAATCACTAATGTTCTATCTGTGCTCAGATGTCTTGACCCTAGTCCTTTCAAGCGGCTTGATCACACTTTGTACAAAATTTTGCAAGATTTATCAAAAGCAGCCAAATAACCTGAGTTTACTAACTGATGTCAGTCCATTATGAATACCGACTTGAGAAATTCCAATAATTATTCGGTGCATATGACGCTTATACAGCCTTCCATTGCAAATACTCTTATGTATAAAATAAAGTGGTAATGATTGTCATTGTACTACTTACTAAGACAAAAATATCTGAAATCTCAGCAAGATTACTTGAAAACTCGAGTTATGTTGTTCATTTTAGTCCCAAAAAGATATACAGCGAAACATTTCTCCCATTAACAGCAGCTGAATCAGTTGATTCCCTCAGTGTTCAAATGATTTTAGTAAGGCATATTTGATAGCTATTCTAATAAGTGAGACAATTTCTTCATTCAGTAGTTGTTTTGCAAATAAGCATGAGATCTAAATATTCAATCAGATGATGTTTCTGATGTCAACAAAAATTTCAACCACTTCCACCTTATGAACCACTACAACTTTTATTAACTGTTAGTTGAAAAATACAGCGGTAGGTAAGTTCCGTGACATTCTCACTATGATCTTCAGCTCAAGCTGAAAAACAGTGGTTGTAGTTGTTTCTACACCACTAGTTATTATTTCTTACCCTAACTAACTGCATTAACTCAAACCAAAACAGTGCTTACGTGTAAAGTGTTTGACAGAATATTGGCATTTTAGCCTATAAATTTATTCTATAAATCCAGGAACACTAAGTTTTTTATTACATTAATTGCATAAAATGATCATGAGACGAGTCACGATTCTGTACAAAACTGTCTATAAGTCTATACACCTTAAAGATATGTTGCCCCTCAGTTCACTGTGTACAGCCTTATTAAATGTCACGTCCATTTACAGAAACTAATAACACAAATTCACAATCAAACAAGTGGACAGAGAATATTTGATGGTTTCAGTGAAATTAGTTCCTTTATGATTCTGCAAAATATCTTCAAACATCCTTTTCACACCTGCTTCTCCTCCTATAATCGAAAAATTTAAGAGGTCATATAGAAAAATTTTTTCGATTCAGACAACTTAAATAGAAGCTAATGTCTAGTGACAGAACTTGCTGGGACTGATAGAACCAGAAAGTCCTATCTGTAGTTCAAAGAAGCTTCAACAATTTGCATTTCACTGAATCCAGAAATAGCATACCCGGGAGTCGCTGTTTCGAATCTGGCCGTCGTCCAGATTTTCATCTCACCTTCAATCATCACCTAGTACAAACAAACACTTCTGTATCACCTCAGGAATTCGATAGTTATTCAAATAAGGTTTCTTTGCATCCACTAAAAGTATACTTAAGATAGCTAATGCACTCAAATCTGAATCTAAAGTATAAAAGATATTAACCATAAGTAAATAATCTATTTGTTGGTATTTTCTAGTTACTTATTTTACTTGACGGGAGTGATTAGTTTATTTTGACCTGTCAGTTATTTTTTACTGATACCTTAAGTTTCACTTTGATTTTATTCGTTTGTTAATAGCTAACAACAGACTTCACAGTTTAAGTGAACATGTTTCAACTCACTGAAGGCTTTTGAGGATTTACTAAAGCATTTTCAATTTTTGGGTAAGTTCAAATTACTTAGATAAGAAGTCCTATCAGATATCACTTTGGAATCACCGACGTGTATAGGAGTAAAGTTTAGGCACCACAGTGGCGAATAATTGTGTTTCGTTTCTAGCACTCAATGCATGATACAGTGGAGCAATAATATTTACTAGACTAGGTTATCAGTAAAATTTACTGTACGTAGTCGTATCACAGTTATCATGTAACTTTCTGGTTTAACTTTATAGTTGCTCTATTCTTTTATACCGCAAAATTGAACCGGAAACTTGTATGTTCACTAAACAACACTGTTCCAGAGTATAGTATATATGATCAAGTAAGTGAAATGGAGTGCTAAGTGTTAC